TTTTATTCCAACCCCAAAGAAAGGCAATGCCAAAGAATGCTCAAAGTAAAGCATAATTGTACTCATTTCACACGCTAGTAAAGTAGTGCTCAAAATTCTCCAAGCTAGGCTTCAGCAATACGTGAACTGTAAACTTCCAGATGTTCAAGCTGGTTTTAGAAAAGGCAGAGGAACCAGAGGTCAAATTGCCAACATCTTATGGATCACTGAAAAAGCAAGAGAGTTCCAGAAAAACATGTACTTCTGCTTCATTGACTATGCCAAAGCCTTTGACTGTGTGGATCACAATAAACTGTGGAAAATTCTGAAAGAGACGGGCATACCATCTCTGACCTGCCTCTTGAAAAACCTGTATGCAGGTCAGGAAGCAACAGTTAGAACTGGACATGGAACAACAGACTGGTTCTAAATAGGAAAAGGAGTACGTCAAGGCTTTATATTGTCACCATGCTTATTTAACTCATATGTAGAGTACCTCATGAGAAACGCTGGGCTGGAGGAAGCACAAGCTGGAATGAAGATTTCTGGGAGAAATATCAATAACCTCAGATATGCAGATGACATCACCCTTATGGCAGAAAGTGAAGAAGAACTAAAGAGCCTCTTGATGAGAGTGAAAGAGGAGAGTGAAAATGTTGGCTTAAAGCTCAACATTCAGAAAACTAAGATCATGGCATCTGGTCCCATCACTTTATGGCAGATAGATGGGCAAACAGTGGAAACAGTGGCTGACTTTATTTTCTTGGGCTCCAAAGTCACTGCAGATGGCAATTGCAGCCATTAAATTAAAAGACTCTTACCCTTGGAAGGAAAGTTATGACCAACCTAGACAGCATATTAAAAAGCAGAGACATTACTTTTCCAACAAAGTTCTGTCTAGTCAAGGCTATGGTTTTTCCAGTGGTCATGTATGGATGTGAGAGTTGGACTATAAAGAAAGCTGAGTGCCAAAGAATTGATACTTTTGAACTGTGGTGTTGCAGAAGACTCTTGAGAGTCCCTTGGACTGCAAGGAGATCCAACCGGTCCATCCTAAAGGAGATCAGTCCTGGGTGTTCATTTGCAGCACTGATGTTGAAGCTGAAAGTCCAATACTTTGGCCACCTGATGCAAAGAACTAACTCATTGCAAAAGACCCTGATGCTGGGAAAGATTGAAGGTGGGAGGAGAAGGGGATGACAGAGGATGAGATGGTTGGATGGCATCATCGACTCGATAGGCATGGGTGTGGGTGGACTCTGGGAGTTGGTGTACAGGGAGGCCTGGGATGCTGTGGTTCATGGGGTCGCAGAGTCGGACACGACTGAGTGACTGAACTGTACTGAACAGCCCTTCTCTCTTTGTGGCAGGTGGCTTCTGTCTGATTGTGATATGAGGGTATGCTCCTCTCTAATGGCGATGTCAGGGGAGCTTAGCTCTAATTGAGGTAGGGGTCTCCTCTCTAGTTGCAGTGTTGGCCTCTTCTTTTTGTGTTACGATCCGTGTGGGAGTTCCACTCTAGTTTTTATTTGCATGGGCAGTTTTCTCTAATTGTTATGTGTGGGGTGACCTCCTATCGACCTGTAGCAGGGGTGTCCACTCTAGTTGTGGTAGTGGTTCTCCACTCTAGATGTGACGTATGGGGTGGGCACCTGTTTAGTTGTGGCCTTGTGCTCCTCACTAGTTGTGTCTGAGGATCAACAATCTACTTGGGGCATGCATTTAATTCTCTTGTTTTGGCAGTCAGGCTTCTCTGTAGTTGTGATGTGGTGGGGTTCTCCTGCCTAGTTGTGCTGTGGCTGGGGAAGTCCTCTCTGGTTGTGGAGTGGGAACGCCTGTCTTGTTGCATCATGGTGTGCAGCTCTTCTCTAGGTGTAGTTTGCTGGCTCATCTCTATTTGTGGCTTGAGGGGCTACTCTCTAGGAGTGGTGTGGAGCCTCCTCTCTAGATGTGTTTTACGAGATTGCTCCACTCTAGGGGCACGGGGTGGGGCCTCTTTTCTTCATGTGGTGTGTGTGGGCTCCTCTCTAGTTGTGGTGGGGGACTCCTCTCGAGTTGTGTCGGGGGACTCGGTGTTCCTCTTGAGTTGAGGTGGCGCCTCCACTCGACTTATGGTGGGATGGCTCCTCTCTCACAGCAATGTGCAGGGTGGCTTCTGTTTAGTTGCGATGTGTGGGTGGCTAAACTACCTGCGGCTTGCGGTAGTCTCTAGTTGGTGTTGGGTTCAACTCTTAGTTGTGTCAGGTGGGCTCCTCTCTAGCTGTGTTGTGGAGTCTCCTCTCAAATTGTGTTGGGGGGGGCTTTTCTCTCGTTGCCATGCGTTGGGGGGGGCACCTCTCATGTTGCGGTGGAGTGTTCCTCTTGAATTGTTGAGAAAGCTTCCTCTCTGGTAGCGATGTGCACAGGCACTCTTTCCAGGTGTGATACGCACGAGCCTGCTCTCAAGTTTTGTCGTGGACCCTCCCCTTTAGTTGCGGCATGGGAGACTCCTCACCTCCTCTCTAGTTGCGGAAGGAGACTTCTGTTAATTGCGATGTGTGGGAATTCTCTTCTCAAGTGGTGATGTTCAAGGGGCTGCTCTCTAGTTGTGGCAAGACGACTCCTCTCTGACGGTGGTAGGGGGATCTACCGAGTTGCAGCATGGCATTCATCTCTATTTGTGTTGGAGGGGACCTCTGTAGGTGCAATGTCCAGGTCTCCGCTCCATTTGGAGCGGCAGGACCCTCTCCAATTCTGACCAGTGGGCTCCTCTCTCATTGTGGCCATTGGTTTCTCTTGAGTTTTGGTATAGGCCTCCTCTAACGATCAGGAGGGGCCTCGGGGCACCTCTCTAGTTGTGGTATTCCCTCCTCTGGGAGCTCTCTGTGGGGAGGCTGTTCTCTCTACATTGAGCATTGGGGGCTCCTCGCTAGTTTCCACGGGGTTGCTCCACTCTGGTTGTGAGATGCTTGTTTCGAGTTACTTCAGGGGCCTCATCTCTATTTGCAGCCGAGTGGCTCCTCTCTTGGTACAATGTGTGGGAGGGCTCCTCTCTAGTTTTGGCAGGGGAATCCTCTCCACTTACGGCAGCGGGCGCCTCTGTTTGTTACCAGAGGCTCTCTCCTTGCGACAGCATAGAGCACCTGTTGTGTTGTGGTTGGGGACCTGGGGTTCCTCTCGAGTTGGGACAGGTGACTTGGGGTTCCTTTAGAGTTTTGTGGGGCCTCCTCTCGAACTGAGCGGGGCAGTTCCTCTCTAGTAGCAATTAACAGGCTGGCTCCTGTCTAGTTGTGATGTGTGGTAGGCTACTGTATTTTTATTACATGGGGTTCCACTCTAGTTGCTGTGGGGTCAACTGACGTTTTGGTTTCTGCTCCTCTCTTGTTCTGGTTTGCAGACTCCTCTATAGTTGTGGCAGGGGTGGGTCTCCTCTTTAGTTTTAGTATGGGGCTTCCTTTCTTGTTGTGATAGAGTGCTCCTCTCGCATTGTGGTTGGGGTGGCTCCTCTTGGGAATCCTCTGGAATTGCATCAGGGGGCTTGGGGCTCATCTCAAGTTGCTCGCTCACACCCTTGCACAGACTTGCCTGCTCTCACACAAACTTGCATGCTCTCACATGCCCTCTCACGACCTCCCACACTCTCGCATGCCCTCACACGTTCTTGCATGGACTCACATGCTCTTGCACACCCTTGCATGCTCTCACACATCCCCACATGCACTCGCATGCCCTCGCACACTCTCACATGACCTCACATGCCTGTGCATGCCCTAGTACACCATCGCCCACCCTCGCACATCCTCACATGCTCTTGCACATCCCTGCATGCTCTCACACACCCTACATGCTCATGCATGCCCTAGAATGCCCTTGCCCATGTGCGCTTATTCTTGCATGTCTTCACAAGCTCTCTCATGTCCTCACATGCACTTGCATGCCTTCACATGGCCTTGCCTGCTCAGCCCTTGAATGTCCTTGCATGGCCTTGTAAGTCCTGCATACCATCACACGTCCTTGCATGGCCTTTCACGCATTCACACAGCCATGCACACCCTCACACATCCTCATATGCTCTTGTACATCATGGCATGCTCTTGCACACTCCTCACATGCCCTTGCACACTCGTGAATCCTCACATACCCTCACACACTTGCACAGACTCACATGTTGATGCACATCATTTTACACCCTCGCACACCATGAAAAGCCATATCACACTCTCACACGCCCTTGCACACTTTTGCACAGCTTTGCAAAGTGTTGCACACTGTTGCACTTGCTTGCCCAGTCTCACACAGCCTCGCACATCCTTGCACACCCTCGAATGGCATCGCAAATTCTTGCACGTCCTCCCATGCTCTCATAAGCCCTCACATGCTTTCTAAGCTGAAATAAGTATGCACTTTATATATTCAGTTACTTTTTATTAATCAAAGAGACAATTCTATATGCACCTACATCTCTAGAATGTTATTAATTAATGATAAAACTAAACTTGAAACTTTCAGTAACTTTCATCAGAAGAAAACAAAATTCTTAATTAATGCTTTCAGTAGAAAATAATTCAACAACATGGAAAATCGTATTTTCACAGCTATTAACACTATTCTGTAGCTCCCCTCAATACCAAAAGAACCTTATGATAAAGACCATGTTTTTGCTCAACACATACAGTATTTCTCCAAGCACCACAAAACACTTAAACCTGAAAAAAGCAGAATTATGTATCAGAACACTTAAACACATTCTGTTCTTAAACAAAGTTCTGTTAATGGTAAAAAAAATGTTAAAGACTATGGCTCCACAGAGTGAGCTGAGCTAATGAGGGCCTGGCTTGCCCTGGCCTGTGGCATCACTGCTCAGGGGAAGCCAGGGCTCCAGGCAGGCATGTGGTAGACAGGCTGCTCCCCAAGGAGGACAGCATGCCAGTCAGGGGTGGAGGCAATACCAGAGGGAGGGAAAAGGATGCTCTCTCTCAGGGGCCCTAGGCCCACAAGTCTAAACCCATGAAGCCAGACAGTGAGAACACTGAACCCCACACTTAGAATCCTCTGCGACACAGGCTCACCTGTTCCTGAAGCCTGTCCAGGTCTGTGACCACATAGACAAGTGGAGTGCTGGAAATGGAGACGATGGGCTTTGTTTCAGAAAGGCCACTTGCTTGGTCTTTGCAATTTCCTTGGGTGATAGAAAGATCTTTGCTGCCAGTTTCCAAAGGCTTTTTAATATCCTTAGCACTTTCATTAGAGATGGGCCCGAGTAAAAGCTGAAAAAGTATTTCAGTGATAAAATGTTTCCACCTGCAAGATACATGAGCATGTAACTCAACACAAAATGCCAGCTGTCTACTAAGTATTAAGTGAAAGTTAACTCAAGAAAGGATACCACATCCTGTCTCTCCAGATAGGTGTGAAAAACACAAACAGGACAAACTTTGACCGTATGTGCATTTCCCCTCCTTGACTTAAGTTAGAAAGAAAGCAAGAGGTCCCGAAACTAAAGGAAAATTAAGATCCAGAACATCATAGGTTTTAAAAAGTTAATTAACTGCTTAAGGTAAATAATTTACTGTATTTACTTAATAAACTATCATCATAAGGATAAAAAATAAAAGTCTCAACCTCAATTATGCTTCAAATAATACAAATGACATAAGTGTTCTCTGCATAATGGACTGCTACAAGGGAAAAAAAACCTAAGAGAAGAGCACTTGCATCGAGAAAAGAATGGAATATTCTAGGTGTAAGAATAATCACTGGCTGGCATCTTGCTGGGGATGATGAAGCAAGCCCAGGCCTCAGAGGATCATATTAAGTCCACGGTGTCCCAGGAACTGCACGATCTTCATGAACAGTTTCATAGGGCAGGGTGCTCTACTGAGACTCCTCTGAGTAGAGGGAGGCAAAGGAGGAAGAGGAGAGGAATTCTGGATGGAGCACCATTATCTGCTGGGCACCTTCATTATCAGTTTGCTGGGCAAATCTCTTTACTCCTCACCTCACAACAAGCACATCTAGAAGCTGTGTTCCACTTTTACAGACGAAGAATCTGAGATTCAGCCAATTTCCCTAAGACCACAAAATTAAAGAGCAGCAGGGCCAAGGTCTGACTTTGACTTGAAGCCTGTGCTTTTTCCACTGAAACACTCTCCTCCAGTTGACAGAGTGCTTCCGTGTCCATGGATGATGGCTTCTCCATGTCATCTTTCCTACACTTCCGCTCACGCTCTCTTATACTCATCACCTTGCACTGGCCGGGCTGTGTGTCTATCACTGAGCTGTCTGTGCAGCAGGCATCTCTGAGACCTGGAGCGGACCTGGTGGGGCCAGGTGCTCAGCACTGGACCACATGAATGCTCCTGTGGCTTTATGCACAAAAACTAATCAGTCATCATAGGCATGTGAATACCTAATACAGCCAAGCTGAAAAGGGTTTCTGAAACAAAGGGAAGGTTAATCAACTTTACGACCTAATTTCCAAATATTAAGGAAAAAATATGCATATTTTTATCATCTCCATTAAAATGATCATCTCTGTTTTATGGTGCCTCTGTATTGGAGGCACCATACAAAGATTCTGGTTTTTCTAAGGGAAAATGAGGTCAATGTGGTGCTTTTCAAAAGGACAAAGCAATGAATATGTGACAACTGATGCCCCTAAAGGTCACATAAACAAGAGTGAAAAGGAAATCCAGTGAAACCGATAGAAACTTGGGAAGTTGGACTATAGCCCTTGCATCAATCTTTCATGACCAGATGGGCTTTAAAAATTTTGGCACGTTTACATATGACCCAGCAATCCCACTTCTGGGCATACACACCGAGGAAACCAGACCTGAAAGAGACACGTGCACCCCAATGTTCATCGCAGCACTGTTTATAATAGCCAGGACATGGAAGCAACCTAGATGCCCATCAGCAGACCAATGGATGAGGAAGCTGTGGTACATATACACCATGGAATATTACTCAGCCATTAAAAAGAATTCATTTGAATCAGTTCTAATGAGATGGATGAAACTGGAGCCCATTATACAGAGCGAAGTAAGCCAGAAAGATAAAGACCATTACAGTATACTAACACATATATATGGAATTTAGAAAGATGGTAACGATAACCCTATATGCAAAACAGAAAAAGAGACTCCGATGTATAGAACAGACTTGTGGACTCTGGGAGAAGGCGAGGGTGGGATGTTTCAAGAGAACAGCATCGAAACACGTATATTATCTAGGGTGAAACAGATCACCAGCCCAGGTTGGGTGCATGAGACAAGTGCTCGGCCTGGTGCACTGGGAAGACCCAGAGGGATCAGTTGGAGAGGAGGGTGGGAGGGGGGACCGGGATGGGGAATACATGTAAATCCATGGCTAATTCATCTCAATGTATGACAAAAACCACTGCAATGATGTAAAGTAATTAGCCTCCAACTAATAAAAATAAATGAAAAAAAAAATTTGGCACGTTTAGCTTAACTTATCTTTAATTCATTTCAGTCTTGATTAGGGATGAGCACCAGCCAGCCCTCACCTCCTTGACAAATATGGAGTACCGCGCCAGAATCTGCAGTGTCAGTCTCCACAGACGATGCACCAGCAGCAGCGAGAACATCTTGTCAGGCCAGCACCTCTGAAGGCTGCTCCACGTCCTATGAGAAGCCAAAAGGCGATATGAGCTCCCAGTTAGAGGTAAAAACACACAGTTAAGGAGTCACAGCGGAAGGGCTAACAGCTAAAATCTTCAACGGACAAGCCAAGAGTGAAGCCAATGACATTCTGAAGAATCCTATGAGGTCAGCAAAGATTTAGGGAGGTAGAGTGGACAGCCAAGAGGCCTGTAACACTGAGTTCTCATTTTACATGACTCCTTCTCCCAGGTATTTGATGCATATTAAACATATATAACAATAAGAAATAGTCAGTTAACAAGTACTTTATAATAAAGCAACAAATGTGAATTGGAGTGGCAGTCATTTGCAAGGGTTTAATCTTTGGTTTTGAATTTGTCCTGTCTTCTCTTCTACTCCTGAATATGTTATTTAAATATAGGAAGTCAATTACACATGGCTACTTTTGCAAAGACAGCTGAAAATAAACTTTTGAGGCTGAAAGAGTGCAGTTTAGGTGGAACTTGGCCGAACAGAAGGGAGCACAGTGGAGTGGAGCTTTGTGGCTACAGGAACAGCCACCTAGGTGAGCAGTCACCAGGGACGCCTAACGCATGACTAGATGCAAACACGTCTGGAAAGTGTAGGCTGACCCCAGTCACCCACCCACCCAGTCCCAGGACTGGGCCAAGGCCTCTGGAGGCCTGAGGCAGCAGTCCGAGCTGAGAGTCATCCTCTGGAGGGAAGGGTCATTCTGATCCTTCCCTCAGCTTGAGAGGGAAGTGGAGGGTAGCCACAAGGCTACAAAAAAAGGCTGTCACTTAAGCACAGCAGGGGTTATACCCCCTTGACACATTATATTCAACAAAAATGTGGTCTTCTTCCCGTGTTCTTAAAGCATCCTTTACATCATCTCTATACAGCCAGAAGCTCTAGAAACCTTTTTTTAAAAAAGAACTTAAACTGTATCTTCAGGGTCTAACTTACTTCCCCGGTGGCTCCGACGGTAAATCATCTGCATGCAATGCAGGAGACCTGGGTTTGATCCCTGGGTCAGGAATGGCTACCCACTCCAGTAATCTTGCTTGGAAAATTTCATGGACAGAGGAGCCTGGTAGGCCACAATCCATGAGGTTGCAAAGAGTTGGACACAACTGAGCAAGTAACACTGCTGGAAGACAGCAAAAGGTCAAAGTGCTCCCAGGGCGCTAAGGCCACCAAGAAGACTTGGTGAAAGGAATTAGCCCGCTTAACGATAGCCTTTGTCACTCTGAGGATGTTACCTGGTGCATCTTCCAGGACATCTGTAAGTGCTGCTTCTAAGGATCCCGCTATTTCTCTAATCTGAGAGAAAAACAAGAGTGTAAATGGCTGTTTTCTCTGCTTCAGGTGCCTCTCCCCGCAATCTCCCCCTCCCCAGGCAATAGGACCATTCTCCTGCTTGCTCGTAGCACCAGTGCCTCAGAGATGCCCCAGCAGCCCTGATGCCTGTCCTCCAGACTTTTTTTTCTTACTGAGCAGGAAATAAACTTATCTGAATTACTTGACCAGGAAGCCATTTCTGGCAAGTCCCACCACCTATAATCAAGTAATCACTTCAGACCATAAGACTGGGTTTTCCAGTCCTCTTACCTACACACTATCAGAAGAAAGCAAATGTCCCTCAAACTAAGAAATGGAAAAGCTATATTCTGTATCTTTGCAGCTTGAGACATATCACTGAAAGTAGGCAGTTAAGCTAGAACAAGTCTCTGCCTGGCGCTCAGCACATGTCTGCTGCCTGTCTCTCGTGCTGCTATTGGTAACTGCATTCCCACCCTGAGGCTCAGGATCTGCTTTCTGGATGGGTTTTCTGTTTTCTCTGCTGGGCCATTTGTCATTTCATACCGTCTTCTCACAGCCTTCTGTTTTAATACCTGATGTGGACACATTTTTATGACTGTGAAATGAAACCGTGTGTGTATTCATTTCCTTAATTAGCTGCCTATGTAGCATCCTCCTTCCCACCTATATAACCCTTCCATGTTCGTACTTTATTTACCATACATTCTTCTGTCACCCACTAGTTCCCTTGCCACCGATAAATTCTGACACATACTTAACATTAATTTACCTAATCCACAATCTTGGTTTTTGGAAAGTACTTATATGCTTTTAAAAAGCAGTTCAGAGACTGATCTTCAGGAAACTGGAGAGTAAACGCAGCAGCACTTCATAGAAAGAGCAGCAGCCCTGCCCTCAAAGGCACGAGTGGCGGAGAGCAGAGGACTCTGGCCCACCCTGGCTGCTGGAGCTGGCCGCTCCCCACAGCTTCCCTGTGCCACACGCAGGAAAGAACTCAGTGACTGCCCCGTGAAGCCTGCGAGAGGCGAGTCTCTCCAAGCAACAGGGAGAGGCCCAGAGGGAACAAGTGGCAGAAGAGCCGTAGAGGAAGAGAAGGGAGCACTGGAGAACCGCAGAGAAGGCGGTGCTCCTGAGCACAGTGGGGAGGAGAGGGCAGGGGCTGCCCTGAAGTGAAGAGGGCAGACCAGCTCCTGCATCCGCCTCAGACCCCGAATCCCACCTTTTGTCCACATCTGTTAACACACGAAACACAGGAAGGAGGATTCAGCACAGAAAAGGCCTGACACCAACACAGCATTGTTCAGAACGCAGAGAACCAGAAGCAACCTTCACAGCCCCAAGGAAGGGAAGGTTTCCGTAACATGCGGCACAGTTCCTACTGAATGCAGCGTGAAGAGAGGTCAGCTGGAAGTTCTGCGGCCATCAGAGGAACAGGTATCATTCAGTGTAAGTAAGGACACAGGATAAAACTGTATGTATGCCACAACAATCTGAAAACCATACAAACGAGAAAGTGCAAGACACAAATGCAGCAGACCCCTAACATTAATGCCTTTTAAACAGACGTGCAGATGACGTGTGACCAGGTGTGAGATCCCTAAGACTAAAACTGTCTATGTCGTGTGACCCAGCTGTCCCCTCTCCCTACCCTCCAGGAGTCCAGCACCAGCTCCTCGAGTAGCTTTGCTGGCCAGTAACTTCCAGGATTGAGGTGTTAGGTTGTACTTCTTAGAAAATAAACAAAGTGAGATGTTACTTTGCTGAAATTTGAAAAGTTATGCTGTAGTTTTCACACATATACGGGATGCCATTCTACTCTTGATAGAGGCTTTGTAAGAAAGGAAACCCCAAATGCAAACACTCGTAAACTCTTCCATTTGGGTATGGGGATGATCTGGAGACACACACCCCCTCCCCCACACACGGCTCTACTGACGCATGGACACAACTTGGGGAGGGTGGAGGGGAAGGAAGGCGCATCGGTACCACACAGACTCCCCGCTGTAAAGCAGCTACACCATGCTAAGCATGTGCTGAATGGAGCAGAGAACACACATGTGACCGTCCTGGAAGCATACACCATTCTAGCAAGAGTTCAATTAAAAAAGACATACCACTGCCTGTGGCATTTAAGGCGCTAACACCCAGCTTCCAGGCAGCCACTGATTTACTACCATTTGAGACTGCTGGGGGCCCATGTGTATTTAATCTCTTTCTATGAAGACTAATGCCTAACCCTACTTTCCAAAACTCCTGGAAGGACAAATGAAGTGTTGACACAGTAGGGTATGTTGACACAATAGGGGACCAGAGACAGAAGGGGTGCCCGTGTGCTCACAGAATGGTGGTGGTGGGAGGGATGACTTTTTTCCTGAAGATGATGGGGATGTCGGCACAGAGTCAGACCCGGGACTATCTGATTGCTACTGAGAGTGCAATATTAGTACCGATGTTCCTTCCTAGAAATTTGCTGAAACATCACCACCCTACTGGTGTTTAGGCTTACTTTAAATGACCCTGAAGTGAATCAGATAGCAATACAGCTTTGACACCAGCCATGTTTGCAGAACATTCTGTTATCCCAGAGAATAAATAACCCAACCACTGACAAAAATCAACAGAATGGTGTTCTATAAAGTGTTACTTGAATTTGTTTTTAAGTGGAAGAGCAAATGCACTGAAAACAGGTTCCACACTTCATAACTCAAACATAACTTTTTAAATTTCATCAATTTTAAATAAAATTATTCACAAAGAAAAGTTAAGCAAGTCCTTTGAATGCTTATGGCTAATCTCTGGTGAAGATTAAAAATGTCTTTCATGCCCCGGCACCCCGCCCTCGCGACTTGAAGGGTCCGGGGCTGAGGCCGCCTCAGAGCCTTAGAGTTGCGTGCGCGGGGTGTGGGGCGGTGCTGAGGAGACGAGCCTGAGGCACGGAGGCTGAGGCGAGCTAGATGCCGGAACAGTCCAGGGAGCTGCAGCGTGGCGGGAGCCCGTAGCCAGAGCAGTCCCGGAGCAGAAATGGCCGCTGCCACCGCTGTCCGCGGAGCCCAGCCGAACTGGCCATGGCGTTGTCGATGCTGCTGAACGGGTTGAAGGAGGAGGACAGAGAGCCCATCATCGAGCTCTTGTCAAGGCTGGCAGTGATGGTGAAAGCATAGGAAACTGCCCCTTTTCCCAGAGGCTCTTCATGATTCTTTGGCTCAAAGGAGTTGTGTCACAACTGTTGACCTGAAAAGGAAGCCTGCAGACCTGCAGAACTTGGCTCCAGGGACCCACCCACCATTTATAACTTTCAACAATGAGGTCAAAACGGATGTAAATAAGAGTGAAGAATTTCTTGAAGAAGTCTTATGCCCTCCCAAGTACTTAAAGCTTTCACCAAAACACCCAGAATCAAGTACTGCTGGAATGGACATCTTTGCCAAATTCTCTGCATATATCAAGAATTCAAGGCCAGAGGCTAATGAAGCTTTGGAGCGGGGTCTCTTGAAAACACTGCAGAAAGTAGATGAATATCTGAATTCTCCCCTGCCTGATGAAATTGATGAGAATAGTATGGAGGACATTAAGTTTTCCACATGTAAATTTCTGGATGGCAATGAAACAACACTAGCTGACTGCAACCTGCTGCCCAAGCTGCACATTGTCAAGGTGGTGGCGAAAAAATACCCCAACTTTGATATTCCAAGAGGAATGACTGGCACCTGGAGATACCTAACTAATGCCTACAGTAGGGATGAGTTCACCAAAACCTGCCCCAGTGATAAGGAGGTTGAAATAGCATACAGTGATGTCGCCAAAAGACATCAAAAGACATTACCAAATAAAAGAGGACTTACGAGAGAAATGTCTTCACATCTTCCCCTGACTAAGAACATAGTTTTCCTAACAGACTGCGCCTCTTCCTAGAAAGTAGAAACTTTATTTGGCATGAACATGCAGTTATTCCAGATTAGGATAAAGCATAGGCAAGGTATAGTAGCTGTCTTGAAATATATATACTCCTAAGCAGTAGTACTTTGAAATTCCTTTACCCTGCCTATATCCCCTAGCCTCTATCCTTGTCTCCTCCAATTTGGAGACACTCCATCACAAACTTTCACTTCAAAAATAGTTTGCCATCTCTCTGGAGCCTTCATCACTGGAGTCCATTCACTGTGTATTGATGACAGAACTTTTGAGGTGCACTGTTCAACTGTTAAAATAGTAACTGTAAAAAAAATAAAAAAAATAGTAAAAAAAAAAAATGTCTTTCATAGGACTGGCTGAGTTTCAGCATAGTTTAAGACTCAATTACCAGCTTTGATAGAACCTACGATGAGAGGAGGACGGGCTGAGGCCAGGCTGTGCTACCCTGCAGGGCCCAGAGCTCCAGAAGGCAGAATGACATGACAGTGCAAGATTACCAAGTGTGGGGGTCTGGGGTCTGGGGAAGTGACTAGCTAAGAGGTGTTTGGAGGCAGTAAACAGGAGTATGGGCTATGATGGTTATTAGATATCTAAAGCAATCTAAGCCAAAACGTAGACTACAGGAGACACAGAAAGTTTAAATATTATTTCTCTATTGCACTCTTAAGTATAAAGCTTAGTACTGTATGTAAAAGAGCACCATACGAACGGTCTGACAGCTTTCATTTCATCATTAAAAGAGGATTATATACATTCTCAATCATGGCAAGTCAAGGGATTTAATATATTTCCCTCTCTGTAATTATTCCTCAGAACTCCAGAGGAGGACTGCATCATAATTAATGAAAGCATCTAGCAATTTAAGCAAAAAGCTTGCAAGTCTTTAAAAACCATTCTAACTAATAAAATGCTCTAGTTAACACCATTCTATGGAGGAACTCACTGTGATCTCATTCAAGAGAATCTTTTTCTAGGGGAACACACATTGTTAAGAAGCTATTCTAAATTGCCCCCAAATTGTCTACAGGACCACTTACTGACACTGGTGATATCATTATGCTATCTGGAAGGAAAGTGTCACCATTTTCCAGAACACTCACCAAGATTACAAAGGAAGCCAAAAGAATACCTACAATTCTTATAAATTGATGGATGGAATCAGCTACAAAGAATATTTCAAGAAAGAACACTTTTTCTGATTCCCTCTGAGGATAAAAATGTTACAGATGAGCAAAACTACAGATGGAGGATAGGCCTGCTACTTGAAGCAAGTGATGGAAGAGGACAATGGAGAGGAGGAGCTGCCAGGTGAGCAGCTCTCCGTCTCTTCGTGGTGAATGAAGGCATAGCGCCTGGGAATGAAGCTGGGTCTGGTCTAGCTCCCTTGGAATCTAGCGTTCTCAGCTTGCTAATGACAAGAGAGTAAAACTTAATCCTTTTGCCATACAGGCCAGAACTCTGGCAATCATGATACTTCTTGTGCGTTTCTGCTCTAAACTGTTTCCCAAGGAATAATATGATGATCTCCAAGAAGGGGCTGTGAGATGGGAGTTCAGTCCATCTGAACTGGTGTTCAAATTCTATTTCAGAAGGGTGGAAGTGATGGGAATAAATTACTGACCTTATTTGAAAATAAACAGGCAAGTTCCACTTATTATTGAAGCTGTGATAGGCAGGATGTGCTCTTAATCTTTTTACACTGGCCTGTGATCCACACTGCCGTTCAAATGTTCTTACAAAATCCATACTTATGGTATATTTCTAAAATTAGAACAAACAGGTGGAATTTTCATTTTAAGGAAACTAACCAGAATCAGGATCATATAATGAAAAATGGAAATCAAGATAAATATCAACACACAGACTCATAGGTTTAAGATCTCATTAGGCCCTTACAGGATCTTCCTCTGAAGATCCCCACACTGAGTAATGCCCAAAGTGGTTCTATGACTTGCTCAAGGTCTTAGGTGGCAAGCCCATCAAGAGACCCAGGTATTCTAAGTCCAGCAGTCTTTAAGTGACAGCTCTCACTCATCTTCTAGGGCACCCCTAACTGTCCACTGGAACCAAGAGAGATCACAGATTAAGTGGTATAATTTTCACTGCCTTTCGAGAAGAAGTAGAAAATTTAAAAAAAGGAAAGAAAGGGGGGGGAAAGGAAAGCAATTACTCAAACCATGTGAGTAATTACATCATTTTTATAGATGGGACAGCATGAAGACTGACAAGGGGAATCTAGGAACACCACTAAGAGCAGCAGGTAACACTTACTGAACATATATCATCTGGACACAGTGCTTACAATTCTATTATTTAATTTAACCCAGAAAACTACACTACTAGGTTAACTGCTTTTACTATCATCTCCCATAGAGATGACACTTCCTCTTCTGCTCAGGCTCAGAGAGAACTGACTCAGAAACCAAGCAAGGAAATAGAGGAACCAGAAGCCCAGACAGTCAGCAGTGCAAAACTGCAGCTGCACATCCTTTGGCAAGGGCTCTCAATCCCCAGGCTCTAGGGAGAACACTGCAGGATTTCCCATGTACTTCTCACTTAAGAGAAGCTCCATTCTGGGTCAGCAAACCAATCGCCTAAATACGATGTCTGTGATTACCTGGGAACTGTAGTACAGTAAACACCACTATAGTGTTAAATTCCTTTCAGCTGGTTTGGAGCTGCTGCTGCTAAGTCGCCTCAGTCATGTCCGACTCTGTGCGACCCCATAGATGGCAGCCCAGCAGGCTCCCCCATCCCTGGGATTCTCCAGGCAAGAACACTGGAGTGGGTTGCCATTTCCTTTCCCAGTGCATGAAAGTGAAAAGTGAAGGTGAAGTCGCGCAGTGGTGTCCGACTCTTAGCTACACTTACTGAATTCCCTAAGTGTGGTCTAGATGTGAGGAGCTGAGACAAAGAAAAGTATTACTCATCCCTTTTGGGATAAAACCACACCCCTGCATATAATGGATGTTAAAAGAATGCAAAAATACTTCTCTCTTCTCAAAAGCATGTCCCATTAACACTGAAAACTGAAAGCATTTCTTGCAAGAAATGTAACCACGAACATTAAGTATTGGTTTAGAATTCTAAAGTCAATGGTTTCATCAGAAAGCTTCATTCCTGAGCTGAAAAATCTCCTGAGCCTAACATGATCAATATGATTCTCTAAAGAGGGATGTAAAGGGTCTATCATTAGCATTGCTAATGCTTAAGACCATTACCTCATTCTGCCTATGGTATCTATTTTTAAAAGCCCTACTTTATTTATTTACAAAGATCTATTTTATAAAGTCACAAAACTCTGTCACACAACTGGTTGAAAATCATATTACTTAATTATATGGTTCAGCATACTGTAACAAGGGTCAAGAGAACAGATAAGTGGTATTTCTGATAGTAAAGTTCTAACTTTGTGAACCTCACCTGTTGTGAAGTTATCAGGCCCAGGCTCACCACACTCAACTTGTGCCTCTCTACACTTTAAAAATCAGAAAGCAAAGCGACCAAGCACACTTAGAAAAAGAGGCAAATAGAGCTGCTAGAAATGAAAATAATGATAAATTTGAAACATGTGAAAAGGAATTTAGACACAACTGAAAAAGGAATTCTTGAAGTAGAAGAAAAATCCAAGAAATTACCCAGAATGTAGCACAAAGAGATGAAAAATAAAAAAGTAAATTCAGGAAACATGAAAGATAAAGTGAGGATAATTAATTAAGAGTTCTAAAAGCAAATAATAAAGGAATGAGACAGAAGCACAACTGAGTCAGCATAAAAATGATACAGAAATGATATAAAAAACCACCAATCCTCAGATTCAGAAAACCCAACAAATCTTAAATTCAGCAAATAAAAATAAGTCCACACTAGATAGATCATAATGAAACAGCACACCAAGGTCACTGGGAAAATTTTAAAAGGAGCCAGGGGAAAAAGCCGTTATAACTACCAAGCAACAACAGCAACAACTACTTTCAAGTGACAAAGTTCAAAGTGCAGAGAATAATACTTCCAGCAAAACTACCTTTCAAACATAAAAGGTATAAAGTTATTTTCAAACAAATATTAACCAAGGGTTTATCATAAACATTGAAATTTATTATCAACAGAAATTCATAAGAGATGAATTTCAGGAGGAAGGAAAATGATCCAAGAGAAGAGGTAGGTATAACATCCAAGAAGGAACAATAAGCAAAGGAAATGATAAACATGTGGAATAATTGAGAGGAGGATGATGGCCATGTTAAAGCAATAATAGTAATGCCCAATTGAGGGGCATAAAAAAATAAAAATAGAAATAAGACCCTGGTAACTAATATATACTATGGAATGGCATGATTGGCATCTAAGATCCTTGTGCTGTATGGGAGGCTGAAGAACACCAGTAACTTTAAATTCTCTTAAGTAAACACTAAGGTTACTTAATACACAAATAAATAGAGGGCAGAACTTCCAAATTAGTAGAGGGGTAAAAGAGAACAAATGAGAAAAAACAAATTCCCGAAAGTGCAAAATAAAGAGGTGGGAAAGGAAAAAAAAAAAAGGCAAGAAAAAGGAAAAGAAGAAAAATGGGACAAATAGGAAGAACTAAAAAAACCGCAAATATATCAGTCACTACGATCATTGTCAATTTAATAAATTACCTAATTATAAGACAAAGATTGTCATATTGAATAAAAAAATAAAAAAACAGAAATCAAAATCCAGAGCAGGAGGAGGAGGAGGAGAGGCACCAAGAGGCTGAGCAGGAGAGCGGGTGCAGACTCAGCCATTCGGCCTAGAGTCTTCATTCCTCTCCAGGACACTGCATAACATCTTTAAAAAATGGAAAATTAACATATGGGTTTACTTCTGATATATCAACCGCGAAGTCCTTTAAATAAAATACATGATTTTTTTTTAAAAAAAGGAATATCAGGCTCTCCTAATCTTTCAAATTATATAGGACATTTTTATATTACATTAATAATTACAACATTAGTTATATAATATATATACTA